TCTTAGTAATATGTAATGGTATTCGCAAGCTAGTATTGATGCAACGAGGTCACGTGATAGCTTATGTATAGGGAGTTGATGTCTTTGTAGTTTACTGTGATGCTTCGATCATGCATGGGAGCAGTATTTATGCAACGAGGTCACGTGATAGCTTATGCATCGAGGCAGTTGAAGCCTCACGAGGCTAACTATCCGACACACGATTTAGAGTTGGGGGCTGTGGTTTTCTCCTTCAAGATTTGGTGGCATTACCTCTATGAGGTCTGTTGTACCATTTACATGGACCACAAGAGTTTGAGGTACCTCATGGAACAGCCGAATCTGAACATGAGGTAACGTCGGTGGTTAGATGTGGTGAAGGATTATAACTGTGAGATCCTTACCACCCGGGCAAGGCCAATGTGGTGGCCGACGCCCTAAGCCGCAAGGCGGTAGCGGCCCCGATTCGAGACATCTGTCTGAGGATGACAGTGATTACTCCATTGTTGGAGCAGATTAGAGAGGTGCAGGTAGAGGGCCTGAAGGAAGAGCGCCAGAAGTGCGAGCGGATCGTAGGCCGAGTGGCCTCATTTGATTATGATAGTTGTGGGTTGCTGACCCTGCATGGGAGGGTTTGGGTTCCGTACTGGGGCGGAGTACGACAGGTTCTGATGGATGAGGCCCATAAGTCGAGGTTCTTCATCCATCCTAGGACGGCGAAGATGTACAAAGATCTTCGTCTTGATTACTGGTGGCCCTGCATGAAGAGGGATGTAGCTTGGTACGTTGAGAGATGCTTGACCTACAGGAAGGTCAAGGAAGAGCACCAGAGGCCCCATGACAAGATGCAACCGTTAGACATTCTCGTGTGGAAATGGGAAGATATCACTATGGATTTCATCACTAAGCTTCCCAGGAGTGCTCATTTTATCCCGATCCAAGAGAGCATATCGGCTGAGAAGCTGGCCGAGATTTACGTGCATGAGATAGTGGCATGACATGGAGTGCCTGTCTCGGTGGTGTCAGACCGAGATGTCCGTTTCACTTCCAGATTCTGGAAGCAGTTTCATAACGAGATGGGTACTCGTCTCCACTTTAGCACCGCTTTCCACCCTCAGACGGACGGACAGAGCGGGAGGACGATACAGACTCTCGAGGACATGCTACGCGCATGTGTATTGGATTTCGGTGGCAGTTGGGATACGTATCTTCCGTTAGCGGAATTTTCGGATAACAACAACTACCACACCAGCATAGACCGACCTCCCTTCGAGATGCTCTACGGGAGGAAGTGTAGGACCCCAATCTGTTGGGACGAGGTCGGTCATAGGGTCATGGGGAGTAACGAGGTGGTACTCAAGACGACGGAGAGGATTTAGCAGGTGAGGAGCAGGCTTCAGACTGCTTAGAGTCGGCAGAAGAGCTACGCCAACAGACACCGATCGGACCTGGAGTTCCAGGTCGGGGACATGGTCCTCCTGAAGGTGTCACCTTGGAAAGGTATCATCCGGTTCCGAAAGTGGGGAAAGCTGGGCCCCGGGTATATCAGCCCTTTTCAGGGTTATAGCCTAGGTGGGCAAGGTGGCGTACCGATTGGATCTTCCAGCAGAGCTCAGCCAGATCCCCAACACTTTCCATGTTTCTCAGCTGTGGAAGTGCTTAGTGGATGATTCAGCGGTTGTGCCTTTAGAGGATATTCAAGTTCATGACAGCCTAAACTACATCAAGAGACCAGTAGCTATTCTCGATAGGAAGACGAAGAAGCTGAGGAACAAGAGGGTTGAGCTGGTGAAGGTACAGTGGCAGCACCGCAAGGGCTCGGAGTGGACCTGGGAGCCCGATGAGGAGATGAGGGAGAACTACTCGGAGTTGTTCCCGGATGCAGCGGACTTCGAGGACGAAGTCTGATTCAAGTGGGGGAGAATTGTAACGACCGTCACTTGAGGTAATAATTATTAAATATCTCTTAATTAATTGTTGGGGTAAATGTTAATATAAGGACTAATTGAGTGGACCTTTAGTGAGTGGGCCGAAGACTTGGGCCGCCCATAAGATGTACGTTGGGCGTAGCCTTGGTGTACGCGGGGCGTAGAGAAGCATTGGATGCGGGGGACGCATGCACGTACGCGCAACGTACGTGAGCAGATTCCAATCCCTAGTTTTTAGGGTTTAAGCCATATAAATACCACATTATGACTCAAACCCTAGCCTCCTTACCAGCCCCTCAGTCTCAGAAACCCTAGATAGCCTCCGTTTCTCATTTTTGTGTGTGTTTTGGCCTTGTGAAGTTTGTTTGGAGATTAGAAGCTATAAAGAAGGAAGGAGAAGATAGTGAAGAGGAACTTGAGTATCTTGAGCTCATAGATCCAGGATAGCATCATCTTTTGGGACTCATTGGAGGTATAAAGCTTTCAAAATTCTTTTTGAATGCTTAGATCTAGTGTAGTGTTGTTTTGGGGAATTTTTAGTTCCAAGAATGGACCTTAATGGCCCAAGTTCGTTTCTAGGCCAAGAGGTGCCACTCTCAGTGATATTCATGTCCCATAAGCAGTAAAGTCTCGATCTTTAAGGTCCTTTTATGACCATGCATGAGTTTGGAGTCATTTCTATGAAAGTTAGTTGCTATATTCCAAGTTTGGTCTCACTTGGTGGGTTGCAAGCCACCAAGTAGTCGGCTTTATGAGTTAAGATGAGTTATTGGACTCGGATATGTAATTTGGACTTAGTGTCTTAAGGGGTTAAGCAGTTTTGAAGAAAATGGCTTAACAGAGTAGTACGATGGGCGTACACGCCAGTACACGCAACGTACAAGCCATGCAAGTTGTACGCGTAGCGTACAGAGGAGTACGCTCAACGTACTCTCAGATTTTGGGCTTTGCGACATTAGGGCCTCGGTTTGGGCCAATCTTTGGGATTAGCAGATGTTGGGCTGAAATTGGCCATCAGAAGTCAGCTAATGGACCAAGGACATGTTTGGGCTTAAGGGAAGGCCCATTTGAGGAGTTGGGCCCAATTTAGAAAATTGGGCCATTAGTGGGTCTTTAGTGGGCCATTAGTGAGTTTGGAAAGATTAGAAGGAATTGGGCCTAGGTCATGGTCCAAATTAGATTAGGAGGTAAAATGGTCATTTTACCCTTGGAAGGATTCTCAGTTTTTGACTAAGTGCTTGATGTGAATGATAGTCGGGGAGTCGTTGGAGCAGCAGTCGGGGATTCCTCACACAAGATTTCATCAGCCAGTTTGAGAGGTGAGTTTCCTTCAGTAGGAATGGGTCTAAGGAACGAATGTCGGCCTGTGTAGAGTAGCTAAGTGTGGGTTGGGACCGTATCTTAGACTCGTTTATGATTAGTAGCTAAGTGTGGGTTGGGCCCGTATCTTAGTATTATCAGAGTGTGATATTGAAGTGGTAGATTATAGTTATACTTGTTGTCTATGTGATACTTGTATGTATGTTTAGTTAGCGGGGTGTGGGAGGGGGCCCGTATCTCCCGGTTAGCGGAGCGTGGGCGAGGCCCGTACCTCCTAGCCAGCTGAGTGTGGGTGAGGCCCGTATCTCTTAGTTAACAGAGTGTGGGTGAGGCCTGTATCTTTGAGATAACTGAGTGTGGGTGAGGCCCGTATCTCATAGTTAGCCGAGTGTGGGTGGGGGCCCGTATCTCCTTGAGTGTGGGCGAGGCCCGTATCTCCTAGCTGCATGTTATATGATATGTGTATGGTATGTGGTAGTTTGGGGAGACTCACTAAGCTTCGTGGTTACAGTTTTCAGTTTTGATTTCAGGTACTTCCGCTAGCAAGGGGAAGAGCTCGGGATGACTGCATGGCACACACCACAACTTTTAGCCTGGGATGTTTAGACTCTGATATTTGGCACATGATTTTGATACAGTATTTTATTATGATGATTTGAGATACATTACTTATGTTTTGTGAGATGACAAATGGTATTTATGGTTTTTATAAATAATCAAAACGAAATTTTTGGACTGTATTTTTGGGATGTTTCATTCATAAGTTGGTATTTCTCCACTAAATATTATTTCCACAAATAATAAATTCCCAATTAGTAAAATATTATTTCCATGAAATAATAATTTTTCAATTAAATACAAGTGTTTATATATTTATTAATAATCAAATTATACTAATAAATAATCAATTGACAGTAATTTGCTATATGGTGTGACCCTATAGGATCATATATTATTAGCAATATCATTCTATCATTGACTCTTAGGCATACTAGATCTTTCAGTAACCCACTAAAATTTCATGTCTTCCCCAATCCCATGAACAATTAACGACATACAATTCATGGGAAGAGAGGCTGTGCACCGGTTTCACTAACAACCTGATCCTGGATACAATTATATGCTTTAATCTGGAAACCAAGCTCAACCCCAATTTCCGTTGTTTGAATACATGCAATTGAAACCAATGTATCCAATCTAACATCACTAATGCTTTGATTCTTGTCGAAGACGGGGTTAGCGTTAAGATCGATGGAGGGGGCCATTAATTTCGACGATCGCATCTACACAGATGTTGGATGGGTTGTGAGAAGTCACCAGTGGATTGAGTTTGAAGGACGGAGAAGACTTGCATGCTCTTTTACATTTCATAATCAGTGGCTCGCCGTCGGTGGAATCAAAGTCTGAATTAGAGTCTCAAACCTTGGCCTTGGATGTGAATTTTAGTGGATGCGAGTTCAAGAAAGTCCCAAGCATCCAAAGGGAATCAAGCGGTGAATTGGGACAAATGGATTATTAAGTGGGCTAGCCGAATTTGGTTGAAGCGTGGCTTGTCCAACATCTTCCCACGAATTAATGAATAACTCGTTAAAAGGATCATCGTCAGGAATCTTCTCTGCTCCCTAAGTATTCGGAACTCCAACTGCTACCATATTATTGGGAGATTTAACTTCGTTATTATTGGCATTGATTGTGCACTTTGTATCCGCGTCAGCTGGAGGGACTACCATTGAAGGAATGATGGAGTTCCGATCACCTGTGTCCAACATCGATTCAACAACAACCTGAACTTCGATGTTCCTTTACCTCCGCTACCGGACATCTCATCTCAGGTATTTCAGGATGGATTTCTCCTTCTTCCAAATCGTTGATGCCTGCCTCCATCCAAGTATCTGAGATGTCATCTTCCTCCTCAGCTTCTATATCGTCAACATCAACGTCATCCCCATCCGATTCTTCCTCGAATTTATTAAGTGACACAGGGTGGAATGGTGACCAATCATTAATATGTTTAACAACGCCAACCGTAAATGTTTTCCTTTCAACTGTAATTGCCATCTCCTCATTAATCTTGTTCTTAAAAGAAGTTAAAACACTCACTTTTCCTATTGAATAGTCTTTTCTACTAAAGATTTTGTCAAACGGCTCGATGACCCGTCTAAACCTATCCACAATCACATAGAAGTTTTCTTCGTCCCAAAGCCTTAATGACTTGATGTTAAGGACCACATTCCTACATTTGATTCCTTGGAGCTTGTCTTCCAACATCTCATGTCATTCATGTCCTCGAATATGACAAAGGCGAAGTAGTGTCTCCGAAAGTCTTTTTTTCCCACCCATGTAAACATCGAACGCCTTTCCGAATTGGCCAAAAGGTTTCCATATTTCCCCCTTCGTTGTACCACTCGGGAAGCCTCCTACATAGAAATTTGTTAGTTGTCCTCCGTGCTTTGAAGTCTCTGATTTTCTTTGTCGGGTTTTGACCATCCACCTGGAGCATTTTCAGTGATTACACTTTGGCCTCGGTGATTGTTAAAGTTTATTGACTATAGTGATTTTGATAATTTGGTAGGAAGAGGTAGGAAGAGGTTACTGATTTGGCTCGATGTTATTATCCTTGCATATATTAAGCGTTTAATTGAGGGCAAAAATCGGTGGGAAAAGGTTAACGGTTTGGCTCGATAACCGAAAAGGACAAAGTCCAAAAAAAGAAGAAATAAAAACTATTTATTAATGAACATGCTTATTTACCCATGGGTTTTTTTTTATTTTTCTTGAAAAAAAAACTAAAATCAAATTTATATGTTTTTATGCTCCACAAATAGATATCGAGCCCTAAACATATTTTTAGCACTTATATCTACCGATCATTTTTGTTATTTTTAGCGTTTTAATTTTTTACAAGTTTGAATTAAATTATGAGTTTCAAACCTTTTTTTTTCCCGAAAAACTAGTTCGAAGTTTTAATGGAAAATAGGCCAAAGAATAAAATTTATTGTTTTGTGACTAGGGATGTCAACAGGGGCAAATGGGGCGGGGATTGCATTCCTCCGCCCCCGTCCCCACCCTTGAAATCTCTAGCCTCCCTACCCCACCCCCACCCCCATTTCCCCACCCACATTTGGGTAGACTTTTTTTGGGCGAACGAAGGTGTTCTTTGGGTTAAAAGAAGTTTTTTTTGGGGTTAAAAGAAACTAGTTTGGGTAAAAATAGTTATTTACATCATAATTTTACATGTTTAAAACAAAATTATTATAACATCTCAAGAACGTTATACTAACTACTTAAAAACGTTGTATTTTATTGAATTTTGGAAGTTCAAGTTATTGGTATTATTTATTATATATA